ACCTCCCCTGTAGAGGGAGCCCTACTTATGCGCCGCGAGACCCTGGTTCTGTCAGGCTGAATCAATGAGGCCTCCCAATATAGGACATTTAGTTTGCATTCCCACACCTTCAGGAAAGAGGTAAAATACTCTTGCTTGTCCTAGCACAATCTGCAGCATGGGTAGGACAGCCAATGTCACTGCTGCAGGGCAGTTTTCGGGTTTTGTCCCGAAATGCAAACTAAGAGGTAACCCGAGGTTGACTCCAAGGGCCCAAACACCCATCATTAATCCCGGAGTCCAAGAAGACTCTAATTTAGGAAATGAGTGTCTAGGCAGTGAGTTATTTCTACACACATGTGTGCACACATGTTAAAGGCTGACAACTGGTATGAAGCAGGAGACAATAACCTATGGAGAGGCAGGAGTTTTCTCCCTCAGCCACCGTGATCTTCTCATTCATTATTCATGGATAAACCAAGACAAAAGTGTGAGTGTGTGTGTGTGAGAAAGAGAGAGAGAGAGAGAGAGAGAGAGAGAGAGAGAGAGAGAGAGATTCCCTCCTCTGGTTCTATATTAAGATACATAAAGATTAACAGAATTACTGCCCATTGGCAAGAAAAGAAGAGTGTAGCAATAGCCAAAGGGAAGATTCTAAGCCGTGTGTGGTCTGTGAGAACTCACAGGAGCTGAGAATCTGGGAGGTAGGCTGGGGGTACGAGGGAAAATTTCACTGGATGAAGGATGCAAGCAGTTATTTCCTGAGAGTGGATGGAGGGTTCTATAACGGCTCATACAACATGCTATAATGGACTCTCAGGAGCTATCATGAATACAAACAAGGAGCATCGCAGTGGGGGAATGTGCACCCCTGACAGATCTCATTCATTTAAAAACCCTGCTTGTTGGGCATTTGGAGGAATAGTCTTCTGTCCTGGCATCTGTGCTGGTTAAGCTAGGCTTATTTGGGAAGATGGAAGTTCCAAGGAGAAAAGGCCTCCATCAGACTGCCTATAGCCAAGATTGTAGGGCATCTTGTTGATAAATGAGCGAGCGCATCGGAGGCCCCAGCCCATGGCGGGCCGTGCCATCTTGGGCGGGTGGTCCTGGGCTGTGTAAGAAAGCAGGGTGGGCAAGCTATGGAGAGCAAGTCAGCAATGTTCACCCATGGCCTCCCCTTCCGTTCCTGCCTCCAGGCTCCAGCCCCTGGTTCTTTTCACTTAGAACGTCTGAATTCTTCTGAATATACTCAAAGATGAAAACAAAGTTTAAAAAAGTCCCCACATGTCTTTTCATTTTTGACAAAACACGCTCTGAGGGGAGGGAAAGCAAAAAAAGCAATCTAAGTTTTTGTTTTGCTTTAAATTTACTTTTTTTTTTTCTAGACAAGGTTTCTTTGTGTAACAGCCTTGACTGTCCTGGAACTTGCCCTGCAGACCAGACTGGCCTCATACTCACAGAGATACAGCTGCCTCTCCTTTGGTCTGTTTTCCATGTCTTTTTGAGGCAGGATCTTACTATATGGCCCCGATGACCTGTAACTGTCTATAGCACAGCAACCTGGAGTTACAGGCCTCTTCCTATCATGGGGCCTTTTCAGAAATGGTTTGAAATGAAGTTCATAGCTTGTATGGAGAGCTGCGCTTGCTGGAGAGACCCAGGAAGTGCACTGTGTGGCGTTATTAGCAGGAAGCATCATTCTTCCTCCTACTCAAGCTCAGAGGCACCTCACTTTACACTCCACCTTTCCAGAGCCATTCAGAGCGGGACTCGGTGATAGACGGAAGTTCCTGAAACTAGAGTGGCAAGTGGCATCTCATCCAGAGAACCAGGACCAAGCTACTGTCCTTTCTGGTTTGAGATGGTCACCAGCTCTGAACACTTAGGGACCTGGGGAGACATATTTGACAAGCCCTATAGGAACACTTGGTGGCATAACAGAGGACACGCCTTAGTCCTTTAGAGGAAGCAGGAGTGCTCAGCCTTGCCACGGCCTCAGCCTGAAGGTTGGCTCTCAGGACTATGGTCCCATGTGCCAGAGCTGCCGTAAGTGGGTCAGAGTGTCAGGGAGGGCCTCTGCTTGCTGCTGGTAGGAAGAGCTGCCTGGGCACGAGAGGCAGCTGTTACCACAGATGCCTCCAGGGACTTAGATCTGGGCACGGATCATCTCCTGAGCATCCGTGGAGGCTTAAGTTGCTGGAGACGTACCCGGTCTCAGTGCCAGGAGGGCATGCTACCACCTGGAGGACATCCCTCGCGTGCGACTCGCTCATCCTCTGTGCTTGGGAACCCTCGGGCTCTCAGTACACAGGACCACGCAGCCATGCCCTCTCTACCTGGCCAACTTTTCCCAAGTCTGAGTGCAGGAAGCACAGATGGCCATGAGGGACAGTGCCAACCTCCAGACCCATGTGGATAGCCTTGTAATACTTCCTGCACTCATAGCAGAGAGTCAGAGAGACAAGGTGGACCCTGGAAAGAGGCTGTGGGTTCCAACCTCTTCCTGGAGTTTCTGACACACCGAGGAGGTTAAGATCTTGGTCTGGAGGTACCAAGGAGGGACTTGGGGTGCCTCATATGCAAGCCTGCAGGGATAACTCGCAGTCAGGAGTGTGTGCCTCCTTCACACATGTTCCTGTGCTTAAGCTGCGCAGAGCCTCTCCTGGGTCCTACACGCAACAAAACGGGGTTTGTGATGCTAATGATGTCGGGTTCTGAGATAAAGGACTCCTCCCCAAGTCTTCCAGTAGCCGGGATTTCATAACTGTAGCTTCCTTTCACTCTTCAGTTTTGCCCTTACACCCCATTAGCATCTTGACTGACACATAGACCCCTCAAAGCTAATGAAGCAGAAGCATCACTTGGCCTGATGGGGGTTTGGAAGGACTGTTCCTAACTTTATATTGAGCTGGTGCATTCATTTCCCAAGGACCCCCAAACTCTACACGAGCCCATACAGGCAGCGTCTGGCTGTCTCCCAGGGATTTCTATGATGAAGAACTGAAAATTTTCACTCATGTGCTGGTGACTTTTCTGGGGTCCAGCTGTTGTCCTTCCTTCTGTTGATACTATTTCCTTTTCTTTTATAAAATGATCTTTCTGTGAGCACTAGAAGCCAAACTCAGGTCTAACTAAGAGTGATTAATTTATGTTATGTGGCTCTCTTGTGTTTGACATATACCAAGCGCTATATTATTACTTTCATTAGAATTATACTTAAGAGAAATCAAGAAAAAACACCTACATAGGAATACAGTGGACAGAAGTTTCGGTACTGTTGGCCAGGCTTTCACAGAGCTTAGGGGGAAAGACTGAACCCTGCTGTGGCCCCAGTTAGTCACACTGGCCTTGGTTCACTTATGCTTTGGAAGTTCTTGACACTCTGAAGCTCCAGCTGAATACCTAAGTACCTGCTCTCTACAGCTCCCTGGTGTCAGGCCCACTACTGTGAATGTCCTAAGCTATGTTGTTCCCCAGCTTTCCCCTTCCAAGGAGGGCAAGGCAGAGCTGCACACATTGCGACCAGGACTTTGTGAAAGGTGTTGGGAGTGTGTTTGCCATTTGCAAAGAGGAAAAAAACTCATTTGGGCTGGTTGGGAAGAGACAAGTGGTGATGTAAAAGAGAAGAAGGAAGTGAAGAGGGAACTAAAGGATTAGAAAGGCCAGATAGAGAAAAGTACCAGGGGGAACAGACGCAGCCAGGAAGAGGTGCAGGTCTACAGCCATAAAATTAAGAGGGTTAAAGCAGGAATATGAGGGCACTATCTGCTTCTTCTGTGCAAATGGGAAACAGAGAGGTTTTGGAGTTTGCCACACAAAGCAGCACACTCCCCCAAAGAGGCAGGTTCTTGCCGCATCGTTCCCAGAGGACTACACCTCCATCATTTGTTCATGACATTTATTCAGAAGTGAAATGATTTCCTGACCAATTAAGTGAAAATTCTTCCTACGACAGGGCCATTTTCCCACTACCAATTTAATGAAGAAGGGGACTAAGAGAACAGGTGTTTACTTCATAGACTTTCAGCCCAGGTGTACATAGAGAGTGGTCAGCCCAGGTGTGCACAGAGTGTGGTCAGCCCAGGTGTGCACAGAGTGTGGTCAGCCTAGGGGTGCATAGAGTGTGGTCAGTCCAGATGTGCATAGAGTGTAGTCAGCCCAGGTATTCATTGAGTATGATCAGTCCAGGGGTGCATAGAGTATGATCAGTCCAGGGGTGCATAGAGTATGGTCAGCCCAGGTGTTCATAGAGTTTGGTCAACTCAGATGTGCATAGAGTGTGGTCAGCACAGATGTGCATAAAGTGTGGTCAACCCAGATGTGCAGAGAGTGTGGTCAGCCCAGATGTAATTGGTGGGTTTCTATCCTGGTCACGGATATAACAGCTTGGGCAGCAGTCTGTGAGGGCATAATGGACCAATAGTACATTCTCACCCCAAAAGTATTTTTTCATTTAAGTTTTCAATTTGTTCTTGTTTGAAAAACATTTTGCAAGCAAAAACAAACACATTTGTGTTTTTAGTGACTGGACTCCCTTTCTCTGTGACAGATGACTCTAGTCTCTGTTCACTCCTATGATGCCATAAAGGTATTTGCCAGACTTTCAGAACTTTTTCTAACTCTTTATATTTTTGTCTCTCCTTGACCTACAGCCTTATTCCAAAAAACCATCATGGAGAACTCAGATTGGCCTCAGGAGACAATGTTCCTTCATTTTGCCAAAACACGTAGCCCCGCCCCCAAGAGAAGGAACACACATGACAGTTCCTCAGAGCCTGTTTGCCCATCTGCTCTTGGAGGATGCAGCTAAACACCCTACCTTAAGGAATTATAGCACTCTGTTTCCTTAGAGACTGGGAGAGAAAATATTTACCTAGGACACACACACACACACACACACACACACACACACACACACACATACAGGATTGGTGAGCCCTCAGGCTCTGCAATGTTCCTTCGCATCCACCCCACTCCTCTCTCAAGTAAAGTCCTCGAACCCACAGAAGGGGCACCCTTACCTTCCTTGGCTTCACTTTATCATGGTAGTCGTACTGGAAGATTCCTTTGTAGCTGAGTCCCAGCCACCATGGTATCCCTTGCTTATCCTATGATGGAGAAGATAAACACAGACCAGGAGATTTCTCAGCTGACGACAGGGAAAAGACAGTGTCTCTGGAGTGGAAGGAAGCCCTCTCTACTTTATATCTTACCAGATGTGCCCATCGTGGATGCCTTATGTGAACGGCGCTGGGGACCACGCCTGAGTTGGGCAATTGCTCTGTTTCCAAGCAGAACCACAACCAGGACACCTGTATCCCTCCCTGTCTTACTTATTTACTTGTTTGTGTAAGCATGCACACCTGTTCCTGTGTGTGCAGGTGTGCATACACATACATGGACTTACATGAGAAGACCAGAGGCTGACATCAGTTATCGCTCCCATTCCCACCCCCACTCTCTTTCCACCTTGTATTTTTTTTTTTTTTGAGATAGGTTCTTTCACTGAATCTGAAGCTCACTGAGTGGCTAGCACTGGTTGCTCTGAGAGCTCTATCCCCCCGCCCCCCATTTCTGCCTTACTAGCCCTGGAAAGTTTACTTGAGTGCTGGGGATCTGAACTCAGGTCCTAAGGCTTACATAACACTTTACCAACCGAACATCTCCCCAGCCTCCATCTTAAACCCTTAATACCCTGTCCCCGACCCCCAAAGCCAGGCTGAGTCTCTCACTCGCCATACAGAAAAATGAAATATCGTATTTTAAAGATAATGAACAGCTTTCTGATCAAAGAAACTCCCACTGACTGTCAGACCCAGAGAGAACCGAGACCATGGAGAGGCTCCTTTCCTTCAAAGGGCAAAGATATTGAAGCCAAGGGCTCAAACTTTAATGGAAGTTAAACCTTCCCAGCCACACAGAGCCGATGGCAGCACAGACTAAGGGGTGCCACCATGATGCCCTGCTCACCCAGGAGGGCAACTGGATGAGGACTTTTAGGACTCATGTAGCAAAACTGAAGCCAGAACATCATTAGGATTGGATTACAAACCCTGGGCCCTTCTGTTTATAAGACTCCTTATCACTTGAGTGAAAGTGGGGCTCCTTTGAGGACAATTCTGAGGAGTTCCCACATGCTCCCAAAGGCTAGGACTTTACCCTGGGCGCAGCAAGCAGCCTATCCACAGATTTGTACTAATTTTCACATGTGTGAATGACCTAATTGATGTCTTCATCACAAGAGTCCTGGAGACTCAAAATCAGTATGGCGGTCTGTAAACGTTTGTAGGAATGAATTATTTCAAGGTAAGCAGACATATTAAAGACCAAAGAAATGAACGTAGGGGGAAAAGGATCATGTAAAGCTCCAGGAGTATAGGATTTCTTTACAAGTTTTTCTGTTGGTGTTGGGGATTGAACTCATGGCCTCATGGGTGTTAAATGTAGACTCTACCACTGAACTACCCCACTCCACTTAAAAAATCATTTATTTATTTGTTTATTTGTTTATTTACAGCATGGAGGGTTACACTCAGAGCCTTGTGCATGTTAGGAAGATATATGAATATATGGGTGGACAGATGGACAGACAGACAGACAGACAGACAGACATGTACATGTAGTATAAGACCATATATTTATTGTTTGCTACTGTCTCTGGGAGGTGCCTATGCATGGCACTGATTTTGCTGAATAAAACAAGAGGAAACACTGTGACACTGTGAAGTCAGAGTGTTAAACCCCGGCACAGAGGGATTCTGAGACCCTTTTCGTGAACACTTGTACTTTATTTGGGGGTCAGTGGCCACATCCTCCTACACAACATTACCGAGGGAGTTGGACCTCTGAGATTCATCTGGAACAGAAGAAGCACCCAGAGGCCGGGTGGCCCTGCTCTTGACACTGTAACTTGGGCTTGAGAAAGGGGGCATCTTTATCCTGTCAGAAAGAGATTGCAGTGTGGCACAGAGTAGGTGGAGCTTAATAAGTTTAGATGGAAGCTAATGCCACATTAGATTTGACAATGCCACATTCAAGGACACAGTCTCAGATCCTTTTAATGGGCCCAGTTCTCCTTGGAAAGTAGACCATGTGGCATCAGACCCCAAGAGATAATATGACATTCTGCCACAGTGCTCGGTTTTTCTAGTTCCTTGTATTTGATGGAGCCTTTCTAATGAGAGGCCCCAAACCCCTGATTTCCCAGGATTCCTCTGAGACCGAAAGGAAGTAGAGATTTATTACATTACTTCACAAAAGGAAAAAAAAAAAAGAGTATTGGAGAGTTACTCTATCAAGTGTTAGTACCCTAGGGATAAAATTCAGTTGCTCAATTTCCCCTGGCAAGCAATCTTTTGACCAAGCCAACCTCCATCAACTCCCATTCCCCTCCAAATCTTCAGACTAAAAGACAAGAGAATTTTCTGTTTGCTTGCTTGCTTTTCCAGGACAGCGTGGGAAGACTTCAGCCAAAGAGTTCACTTACCTTCACTGCATAATAGTGGACACCGTAGGTTGGGAGAGACTCCACGATACTCATATAGCTGTGAAGATAACACACAACACACAGCAACACAATAAGGGTTATAGTCAGAAGTGGTGTCACACACACACATACTTTCTTTTGATGTGTGTAATGAAGTTCTGGAGTGGTTATTAACTTGGAAATTAGTAGAAACACCCCTTCCCCTATATATCCTTCCAAGGAGAAATCAACTACCTTGATAGCTGGCCTATTAACACACAGTCTTTGCGCATGTGTGTGTGTGTTGTGTATACGTGTATGTGTGTATGTATTCATGTGTATGCACATCTGTAAATATAATTGTGGGTATGTGTAAGTGGACTCTCCATATTATTTTGAAACTTGGTCTCAGTGGCATGGAGCTCACTGATTCAGCTAGGCTGGTTGACCAGTGAGGTCTAGGAATCTGCTTGCCTCTGCTTTCCCAGTGCTGGCATTATATACGTACTGCCATGCCTACTTATTTATTTATTTTTTATTATTTTAATGTGGGTTCTGGGGTTCTGAATTGGGGTCCCTCTGCTACAGGGCAAGCACCTTATTGACTGATCTGTCTCTCCAGCTCCTAAACGCAATCTTAGTGCATACTCAGAAGAGCCACTTACTTCACAATTGCTTGACCCCTCGTCTGGCCATTCAGCTTCTTGTAGTACTCAATGACTCTGTCTTCGCTAGAATCAGAAGGAAAGGATTCTGGCATTAGAGATTGAGCATCCTGCCACCCCAAAAGCACGAAGACGTCACCCTCCATCCTCCTGAGAACCTCTGAGGAAACTGCAGCTGGAAAATAACCGTGTCCTGAAATGACATGTCTCAAGGCTGCTCTCAAGTGAAGTCTCTTAGTAACGGTGGGGATAGAAAAGCCTGTTTTCTCCTGAGAGGACTTACATTACTGTTACCTCTGACTGCTAATCAGTTGGATAAGATTAGCATGCAGGTTTGGGGGCTGTTCTTTGCAAGATACCACGGAAGAGGAAAGCATGAAGAAGGAGTTGGCACCAGTCACAGAGGATGCTGCGGCTGAACTTGCTCAGCTCTCCCCTCTGAGCCTCCTCCTTTCCAGGTCCAGTCCACATGGGATCTGGGGCAGTGGGTAATATGGTTCTTATCCAGGACTCTAGGCCAAACAGTTCTGAGTAGTTAAGGTCTCAGAACTTCCAAGGAAGAGAGAAAATTTTGGAATTTGGGCCTGGTTAATAAAAGTTCCAGGGCCACACTAGCTAACAGAATGAGATTACAGCTTATTTATCTTTTTGAGGTTTTCCTTCTAAAATTAACAGGAAGTTAAATGGCTCCTTGGTGACAATGGATAGCCAAAATATTCTTTGACAGAATGGAGTGTGGTTGGGGTAATGGCACAGCCTTTCTAGGGAAGTAACTGCTACCAAGAAAGGTGGGAACAATGGCAGCTCCCGCTATAGGTGCAGGGGTTACAGTGCCAGCCCACAGAAGGTCTTGCATGCCACCTACTAAGGACAACCCTTAAAGCTCCATCCTCCATACCCTGCCCTATATCCTTGACTTAGATTCCCACTGACTCAACTGCCATTTCTTCAACAAGGGGACTCCTTTAGCTTTGTATAAGAACGTCATGATAGGGAGCATGTGTGATACCAGGGTTGTACCCTCAAGACTTCATTCACTGATCTTGACCACCCATTATTAATTTATCACCCCAGAATTTAGTGGAACCTTCTCTTCCTTGTTTCTGTTCTCCCTCTTTTCGAGGGCCTCTATTTTATAAGTTCGTGACCCTTGATGGCATGTTCTCTACCACGTAACTGTGATTTGGTGAGGTCAACTTCTAGATCTGTGGTCAAGCTAACCAGTGGAGACTCACACCTATTTTTTTTTTCTAGCTCTGGGCGAGAGCATCCCTAAAGTAGGGGTGGGGACTGAAAGTCACTCTGGTGCCATGAACATAAAGCAAGGTTTAAGAAACATCAACAGCCCAAAGTCCCAATGCTGACAGGCAGCTGTTCTACTGGCCTGACTACAAGGTCTCATGGGGCCTGACAGCTGCAAAAATTGCTGCCCCCTCCAATCTTGTCTGGCTGCCTGCTATCTAAAGCCACCTGGCAAGCCACAGTGCTGACCTCCTCGCGCCTCCGCTTTTCCCATTAAGTCAACAGAGGCCTGACATGTGATGACATACTCAGTGCCAGATGGGGACTCATCTAGCCTGTCCCACTCCACTCCACCTGTCTCTGGAACATACAGAAAGGTTAGGTGCTCCCGGCTCTGCAGACTGTGGCCATAATACCTCAGATTGATTTAAGGACTGGACAGAATAACAATGAGAGACTCACAAGCTACAGAGAATTGAACACTCTTTGCTTTTTGGAAATCTGTGTAAATAGGCTGAAAAATCAGAGCCAGCCACAAGCAACTGAGTACAAAGCAACAAGGCAGGGAAAGGGCCATGGGTTCTTTAGCATTGGGATGGTCCGTGCTACTGATTCACTCACAGTTGGGTGTGACACTGGCTTCCCTATCCTGCCTCTCTCCCAGTTCATTAGACAATTGACTGTACACTCATGGGTCTGGCTGAGGCCCGAGGAAAGGACTGACCTGGTCATGTGCCTCAAGGATACACTGTTAAGATGGCTGAGGGTGAGCTATCCAGGAGAGAGATATTCACGCTGATAAAAGGCAGAGAGCAGGGCCAAAAAGAAGGCTTTCTATATTACTAATAATACAAACACAGAGGATCTGGTGGAGACAGTGCAAGAAAGATCCAGAATGGGAGAGAGGGAAAGAACGGGAGCTCCGCAATTGGCATTGGGGGTTGGTTTAACCATGTTAGACAATAAATAAAGACATGATTGAGGGATGAAGTAGGTCAAAGGCAATCCTGACTCCAGACTGTCTACCACATTACAGTTCTCAAGTGTAATTCATCCCTGCATGTGAGAACTGTTGGCCTCTGGAGTTATTATCATCAATCTTCTTTAATGAGGCAATGTCTCCCCAGATAGCCCAGGCTGGCCTTCATCTCACAAATATCCCCCAGACAGGGTTTGAATTTGGCCTCCTTGGCATGAACCTGTTCTTTATTTATAGATACACTGCCAAAGGAAGAAGGATAGTAGGTCAGGTCTGAGGTGGAGTGAGAGATGGGAATCTGCTGTCAGGCGCTCACAGTTTTGAGTCCAGCTCTTCAGGAGTGGGGCTTCTCTGAGAAAAGTGAGTTCGGAGTATGGGTTTCATCTCACTAAAGAACTCTGCATTATGAGCCACCCAATCTGACGGCATCCTGAAGACTACTTGAATAACTGAACGCTTAGTGTCTAAATAGGTAGAATACTAGTTCAAAAATTTTAGGCTGTATCTACAAGGGCTTGGGGAGCTGTGTGTTGTAGTTACTAGGACCAACTTGTTCAGTGCTTTTTGTTTTCCTTCTCCCCTCCCCTTCACCCTCTTCCTTCCTCTTCCCCCCTTTTCCCTCCCCTTCCTCCTTCCTATCCCCTCCCCCACCCTCTTTCTCTCCTCTCCTCCACTCCCCACTTCTCTCTTCTCTTTTCTTCTCCTTTCCCCCTCCTTGTCTGCTTTCCCTTCCCATTTCCCCTTCCCTCTCCCCTCCCCGGCCTCCCTCCTCTACTCTCCCCTCCCCTCTCTTTTTCTTGTACCGAGGGTCTCACACATGCTAAGCAAACATCACACCACTAAATTATACCCCAACCCCTAAATAATTTTTTTTTTTTGGATTTTTCGAGACAGGGTTTCTCAGTAGCTTTTTGGTTCCTGTCCTGGAACTAGCTCTTGTAGACCAGGCTGGCCTCAAACTCACAGAGATCCGCCTGCCTCTGCCTCCCCGAGTGCTGGGATTAAAGGCGTGCGCCACTGCCGCCCGGCTTAAATAATTTGTTTTTGAGACAAGGTCTCATTAAGTTTCAGACTTTGAGTTTATTCTGTAGCTCAGGGAGGTCTTCAATTTGCAATCCTCCTGCCTCAGCCCTCTGAGAAGTTGGGGTATCAGCTTGTAACACCAGGTGTCCTGCTATGACTATGTCTTGGATGATGAGCAGCCACACTGCTTTCTGAGAAGGTCCAGAGGGACACCAAGGACACAGTCCTGTCCTTGTCAGAGGGCAGTGGTCAGTGTATAAGTACCCAGCAGGAGTTCAACGCACTCCTCAGGAATGCTAGCCCTGCTCCACCGTGACCCAACCACAAATGCCTAAATCACGTGGAATGAACTACGGCATAATGTTACAACGGGCTAAATCAGGATATAGGGAACAGCAAGGAGAAAGAAAACAACCTGCTTCTTTTGTTGCCAAGGAAACGACGTCCCTGCTTCTCCCACCCCTCTTGGCATCCCACATCCTGTCCATCCATCCATGGACCAACATGAAACTGGACCAGCACAGGAAAGGCTTCTTAATAATATTTTTATGATTTCATCTTTGAAATGAAATCAAAGATGAAATCATAAAAATATTATTATTAAGGGAGAGAGTTAACATACTAAATATAAATGCAGATTATGGTCTCTGACTTTCTCTTTTCCTTTTTTTTTTTTTTTTTTTTTTTTTTTTTAAGACAGGGTTTACCCTAGCCCAAGCTATCCTGGAACTTGCTGTGTAGCTTATACTGGCCTCGAACCTACAATCCTTCTGTCTCATTCTCCCCCAGTGCTGGTATTATAGGCATAAACCACTACATCTAACTCTGAAAAGAGTTCTGAACATCTAAGTTGCCTGACACAGAGGGAAGAGGAGGGATGTGGGAGCTGATATAGTCAGGCTCAGTGGTCTGAAGACTGTGCCCTCCTTGAAGACAGGAGACCTGTCTGTGAGAAGGTTCTGGGACAGGGGGTCTTACCAGTAGGCCAGGGAAGGGTGCTCCTTCAGGGCTTGGGTAGGAAGGGCTGGCAGCTTTTTCAGGTCACTCCTCACCACCTCATTGCTGAAAGAGAAAGTCAAGAAACATCACACCACCTTCCGAGAAAATAACCACCCTGCTTCATACAACCTGACTGACTGAGAGCCCCACATCTGCTCCCTTATAACAGCAAGTGGCAGGAGGAGGGGGTTGTTTTCGTTTATGTGATCTAGAAGGGAAAGAATACAGGACACATAAGGTGAGGGGGTCTCCTTTTCCAGCACAGGGATACACACTCGGACAGCCTCACGAACTCGGCCCTCACAGAGATACCAACTGTGTTCTGGGTCCTGAGCAGCACTAGGCATGAATGTGGGAAGAAAATGATTCCGGGGCGGGGGCGGGGATCCCAGGAAAAGCTTCCTGGCCCCTGCAGTTGGGCTCACAGATTCCAAGAAGGGCAGACTGTCTGCTCATTCCTGAAGTAGCTTTTGCTTCTCTGGATTCACCTCCTGCTGGAAACTGTTTCACAGTGCACCACATAACCAGCCTTTCCTTAGGACAAGCTTGGAGACTGCTTAGCAAGCGTGAGGCAGATTAGCAGGTACTATCGGGAGGGCTGATGGAGCTGGTGCCGGAGTCGGAGCGTCATCTCCCATAAACTCCCACATGCTCGGGACTGAAGACAGTTTAAACTGTCCCAGATCAACCGACCTTCTTCAGATGCCTGACTATCCTGTAGAGTCCCGGCAAGATCAACCTTGGCATTGTGGAACAATGACTTTATCATCTACAAGTTCACACTCGACCTACACAACCAGAGTTACAGAAATAAAGTCCCGGCAAATCCCTTACTCTTTCTAAGTGAGTTTACTCTTCTGTGCTCGGCTAGTCTACTGCTGTGTGACCTGTAGTCGAAGGGTCATACACATGTCCAGTCACTTGGCAGTTCTGCACCCCCTTTATGCTAGGGATTCTTGCTGTCTACATCTACACCCAACTTCTAGAGTTAACAGTGTACAGTTGGCCATGGTTCTGGTATCTAAATAGTGTTTCCTTAAACTGGCCCACCCCCAAGCCTTGAGTTTATCAGCTGGGCTTGCCAGGACTCATCTTGTGTAGACTTGCATTAGATCCATAGCACTAACCTAAGATGTTGGCAGCTTTTTGTGTTGTTCATATAAAGCTAGGTAAACACTGGCCACCAGGAGCTTGGACTTTACCACATAAAAGCAACGAACAGGAGATCAGTAAGTAAATAGGAAAGGAGGAAAAAGTTTGGAGGAGGCAAGGGACATGGGATGGGAAGGCTGCAGACACAGGTGGAAACATTCTGGGGTGACTGGAAAGCAATCACCCTTAAACCTATGCTGCCAACTTAAGGATCTTTGTCTCCGAGTGGACAACACCACCAACAGCAATGGCCTCGGCAGCTCCATCATCAAATGGGATTGGGGAGAACCACGTCGGTCATCCAAGTTCACTTCAGTGGCGTCTACGAGCATCTAGATGTTTAGTAACATTAGACTTGCTGGCATTTTTCCAGATTTACTAAGAATAAAAACAGGAATGTTCATGTAGTCATCTTCAAGCAGCCAATCGGAAGGGCATGCTCAACTTTGAATTGTTTGATTCAACGTATCCAAGCGCTTAGTAAATAAAGGGTTTGCCGCCTACTGGCCAGTGAGCTGGAGCCCTCAGTGTTATAAAGAAAGTACTGGGGGAGATGTATGTGGGATAGGACACAGTCCATACCCAGAATGTGCTCACAGTAGCTAAGAAAATGAGTGATGTTCTTTCGAAGATCACTGGCGGTGTGGGTAGGGGAGTAAAGTTAGGTCATGCTAACTTAAACAAGCAATGCGAGAGTTCCGAGGAAATGCAGGCTGTTTTTGGGTGTGGTGTAAAAGTGGGCTTTGGGGATGACCTTGTGTGAAAAGGGTACAGAGCTCATATTTACTATCAAAGCGGCCATGTAACTTGGTTGGGAGAGATCAATTAGAGAGATTCATATTAAGGGACAATGTGGCTGAAAAGAGTTTGGGAACAGCATTCTGAGGACCTTAAATGATGGCCGAGAAAGGTCCAAGGTGCTCCAGCAGACAACGGCAAAGCCACTGGAGATTTTCACAGAGGAAACCCCTGGCGTTTAGGAAAATGAGATTACCAACTGTGGCTTAGAATTACATGCCAGGGAGGCACAATTTAAGCCAACATTCCGTTAGCCAAACACTTGAGGAGCCACAGTGGTGGACTGAGGGTCTTTTCTGTCTCCTTAACTATGGACACTGGAACATGGATATTTGGCTCAGTGCTCGTCAGTGCCCAGGGTGACTCCTTAAACATGACAAGGCACTTTTGCTGCTAAGGTTTTCTCTGCTGGAACTGTGAAAAAGCAATGAGCTGTGTCTTCATGGAGCTGAAACCTGAGCTCCGGCTCCTTCCTCTCATTGTGTCTAAAGTATATTTGGGGAAGGGACCGAAGGAGGAAGAGCTCCTTTTCCTTACCAACCACGGGTCTGTTGGTAAACAAACATCCTGGATGACAGCCGCAGGCTTCACTTCCTTGCTGAGGCTTGCCGTGGATTCTCTTACTCTCCTCCAGGGCAGGGTTACACAAAAAGCATGCAGGGAAGTCACCAGGGCATGAAGCCTGTCCAAATCCATTATTCTCTGGAAGGGATCCACGACTCCCAGGCCTCCCCAGAGGATGAGTCTGCAGACATGCTCTGTTTGCCTTTTTTCTGTTTATAAACACCTGCAGTCACTTAGAGGTGTCCAGTCCTGGCCAACATGCACAGCTAAAAATAAGAAAGTCGCTCTAATGCTCTAGAGTCAGGTTGTGCCTCTGGCCTTAGCAGGCAAGAAGGACGGGCCTGGTTAAGTATTGGGGTGGGAGAAAGTCACCCCAAGGGGAGAGGCTGCTACTCCACAAGGCTGTAGCCTAACACACGAGCTAAAAGTTCCAGCTTTCTTGTCCAGGGACTGCCGCGTTTTCGTTATTCCAGAGTTCATGACTGATGAGCACTAGCTTAAAACATACTGTAAAACAGCTCACGGTCATACTCTATTTTTAGAAAACAAATTTTAAAAAAATCTTAGAAGACAATTTTTTTAAAAAAAATCCCCAGTTTTATTTTTAATATCAACTAGGTTATATTTACAAAGTTTAAGTAGTTGTTACTGTTGCCAGGATGGAAATGGTATTTCAGTGCCGTGCTGATTTTTCTAGGGGTGATGGGTTAAGATGATGTGCTTGCATCTGACTACCTAAAACACTGGAACTGAGAGTGATCTACAGGAGAAACAAAGATTTCTAACAACATGACAAGTAGAGAACTTGCCACATCAAAGAACAACATGTTTAGCCAAGACACCATAAAATGAACAAGGACAAAGTTAAGCACCAGAAAAGGGTTGGTAAAATCTACAATCTGTTTTCCTTAGAGAAAAATGAGGTCTAAGAGGGGCTGGAGAGACGGCTCAGAGGTTCAGAGCTAAGAGTGATAGCTGCTTTTGTGGAAAACTAGAGTTTGGCTCCTAGCACTTACACCAGGCAGCTCATAATCATCCCTCAACTCCAGCTGTGGCAAATCTGATGCCCTTTCTGGCCTTCATGGGCACTGCTCTCATGTTCACACACATTGTAAATAAAAACAAAATCACCCCCCCCCAATGTGGGAAATAACATTTCAGGAGATTCCTATTGGGCCAAATGAGATGTTCATACATTGGAGGAGAAGCCTGGGGTCTCCAGGGTATACTTGGGGCAGAAGAACCCGTCCTGAATCCACTGTTTCAGCAAAACTAGTGTAGCATAAGAGAATAATCAGAAACTCAGATACAGTGAGATTAGAATGCTCTGTGCACACCAGTTAAACCCTCCATATTACATGGGTATATCATGAATCTATGATGGAGGAGGGTCATCTTTCCATCTGTTGTTTCATTGGCTAAGTAATAAAGAAAACTGCTTGGCCCTAATAGGACAGAAAATTAGGTAGGCGGAGTAGACAAAACAAAATGCTGGGAGAAAGAAGCTGAGTCAGGGAGTCGCCATAATTCTCCCACTCCAGACAGACACAGGTTAAGATCTTTCCTGGTAAGTGCACCTCGTGGTGCTACATAGATTATTAGAAATGGGTTAAGAGGCTAAAACTAATGGGCTAGACAATGTTTAAAAGAATACAGTTTCCGTGTAATTATTTCCAGTAAAGCTAGCCTTGCGGGCGGCCGGGTGCCAGGAACGTAGCCCGCCGCTCCTATTACAACAAATCTATGGTTCTTCATGGAAAGAATATTCTTTTTTTTGGGGGGGGGATATTTTTAAAAATTATGTATACCATATTTTGCCTACATGTTTACTTGCAAGCCAGAAGAGGGCACCAGATCTCATGGCAACAGATGGTTGTAAGTCAACATGTGGATGCTGGGAATTGAACTCAGGACCTCTGAAAGAATAGTCAGTGCTCTTAACCTCTGAGCCATCTCTCCAGCCCAAGAATATCCTTGAGTAAAGTAGGAGTATACAATCCTTTACCCACACTTCTAAAACCCACAAAGCTCCAGCAAACAAACTGTTCTTAACCTATTTGGTGGCAAGCCAATCTTTTAATTCAAGGGTATGTTTTACTACTTCTTCCACCTGGAAAGAACATTTATCTTCCTTTTTCTTTCTTCTCCTCCTTCCTCCTCATCCCCCTCATTCTCCTCCTTTTTCTTCTTTCTCCCCCCCCCTTTCATTCTTCTTTCTCCCAACTGACAGGGTCAGTCTCATCTAGCTGAAGTTGGCCTCAAACTCCCTATGCTGCCAAGGTTGATCTTGAATTTAAAAAAAAGAAAAACACCTTTATTTTATATGTATAGAGACTTTGTCTGCATGTATGTCTGTGTACCACATGTGTGCCTGGTGCCCATGGAGGACAAAGAAGGCAATGGAGCTTCTAGAACTGGAGTTACCATGGAGATGACCATCTGTAAGTGCCACGTGGGTCCTGGAAACTGAACCTGGGTCCTCTGCAAGAGCAACTGTTCTTAACTGCTGGGTCATCTCTCCAGTCCCAGACCTTGAATTCTTGATATTC